TTTCTGTCTCTATGTCTCTGTCTGTCTGGCGAGCACACGCGCCCTATAGGCAGCCTATAGCAAAAAAAACCCTCCAAAAAAAAAAAAAATCCCATAAAGCGACTGAGATAAATAGTATATATTTTCCCCCTAAAACAATGTATTTAAACATGAATTTACATAGAATATGGCCTCCAAGATTCTGACTTTGGAGCTGGGAACTAGTGCCTACCAGACAATCTGAAAATGGCTTCAAAGCACAGGATTCCTTTGAAGCTAGCAAAGTAGTAATCTGGTCAATTCAGCGAAATTTCTGGGTGTAGCAGAGAAAGGGCTTGCTAGTAGTTGTACAGGTTGCTGGAACATATCCTGAATTTTCTCCTTTACCCAAATATGGGAACAATTAGACTTGTGCTGGCGCCATTTTTTGGGAGGAAACAGACTGAGATGCCTTCGTTCATCGAAACAACCCATGGAGGGCAGTGTATGAGCTAAAGATTAATATGGCAACTTTTTTTTTTTTTAAAGATTGTTTCTTGTTGTGTGGATATGCTCTTGTTGGCCTTCCAGCTGGAAGTACAGGTATGTATCACCTCGCCAGCCTCTGTTTTAGACAAGATTTTGCTATGGTTGTCTAAATCAGGCTTGGATTAGTGACTCTCCTACCTCAACCTCCGGAGTTGTTGATACAGGCATGTGTCATCATACCTGACCTTTGGGTTGGAATGGGAATTGAACCTGGTCTTCCCAAGTAGTTCCAGCCTGTAGAACACCTGATCTTAGTAGTGTATACCAAGGGGACTGGGCGTACTATAGAAACATCTACCACAGTGCTGCTTGAAGTGTGATTTAGGGGCCATCTGCTCTAGAATCACTCTAAATGTTGGTTAAACATGTGGAGCCCTGGACCTTCTTCTCAGATAATGAAATAGCATCGCTGGGGAGGGATTATGGGAAGGAGAATACCTGGCATGCTCCCCACGTGATTCTAATTAGACTTTAAATTAGAGAGCTTCTGTTTAGTAGCTTTTTTTTTTTTTTTT